TGCTGCTAGTCCCTGAGGGTGACCCAGACGCTTTCGACATCCCGACCCCTCGCACTTACGCTGAGGCGACCTCGGGACCCTGGGCCTCCCAGTGGATAGCTGCCATGCAGCAGGAGATGGCATCTTGGAGATCCACCGGCACCTTCGTCGACGCAGTTCCCCCACCTGGGGTGAACGTAGTCGATGGCCGCTGGCTCTTCAAGGTGAAGCGCCCTCCTGGAGAGCCGCCTGTCGTCAAGGCGCGATACGTGGCTAGAGGTTTCAGTCAGCGTGAGGGGGTGGATTTCTTCCAGACCTTCGCTCCGACCCCGAAGATGACTACTCTTCGGGTCCTGCTACACTTAGCAGCACAGCGTGACTACGAGCTTCACTCCCTCGACTTCTCCACTGCCTTCCTTCAGGGCAGCCTACACGAGCAGGTCTGCCTGCGTCGCCCTCAGGGCTTCACTGGCACCTTCCCTCCTGGGACCCAGTGGCTCCTGCGTCGTCCCGTCTACGGCCTGCGGCAGGCTCCCCGTGAGTGGCAGGACACGTTGCGTGCTACCCTTGCTGATCTGCAGTTCTTCCCGTCCTCTGTAGACCCCTCTCTCTTTGTTCGTGCTGGCCAGACTCCGTTCTACATCCTTGTCTACGTAGACGACCTGGTCTTCGCCACAGCAGACAGGGACGCACTGGCCTCCGTGAAGGCAGAGCTGCTGAAGAGACACACCTGCACTGACCTTGGAGAACTGCGCCGTTACCTTGGCCTGCAGATCTCCAGGGACAGAGCAGCGCGCACCATCACCTTGACTCAGTCACACTTGGTGCGCCAGGTCCTTCAGAGGTTCGGCCTTCAGTTCTCCTCTGCACAGCCCACCCTTCTGCCGCTAGCCCACAGACTCTCCGCTCCTGTTCTCGAGGAGGCGGTAGAGCCCAGTGGTCCTTACGCTGAGCTGGTGGGTTGCCTCATGTACCTGATGACTTGCACTCGCCCAGATCTCGCATACCCTCTCAGCATCCTGGCTCGCTTTGTGGCCACAGGCAGACACCGACCGCAGCACTGGTCAGCCGCTAAGAGGGTTTTGCGTTATCTTGCAAGTACATCGGGCATGGGGTTAGTGCTAGGAGGGCGCAGGCCAGTGGTCCTTATTGGACACACAGACGCTTCTTGGGTAGACGACGCCGAGACTTTCAGGTCTTCCCAGGGCTACTGCTTTAGCCTTGGTTCAGGTGCCGTCTCGTGGAGAGCTACCCGCTCCTCGTCTGTTGCCCAGTCCAGCTGTGAGGCCGAGATCTATGCTGGTGCCATGGCGGCACAGGACCTCCGCTGGCTTACCTTCTTGCTCACTGACTTAGGTGAGCGGCCTAGCTCTGCACCGGTCCTGTATGCTGACAACAGGGCCATGATCCTCCTGTGTCAGGAGCCTCGACTTGAGGGCAGAGCGAAGCATATTCAGCTGCGGTACTTCCTCCTGCGCGAGCTACAGCAGCGCCGCCAGGCTCACGTAGTAGACTTGGCCTCCGGTGCCAACATAGCTGATATCTTTACGAAGGCGCTTGCGCCTAAAGATCATCAGCGGCATTGTGTACAGCTCGGTCTAGTTCCTGTAGCCTCTCACTTGCTTGGACCTTGACTTTGTACTATCCTATATACATCTATCTCTTTACTCGGACTGGACTTGTGTCCTCTCTCAGTGGCTGGACTAGTAGTGCCGCCCTGATCTTGGTCTTGCCTTGTCTGTACTCCTTTTTGACTGGTCTTTAGACCCCTGTCTCAGTGGCTGGACTTGTAGTGCCGCCCTGAGCTGTTTGTTCAGGACCTGCCCCTATGCAGTCTAGGGGGTGTGTCAAACATATATATATACCTCATGTTTGTATAGACTGTATAGGGTCACCTCTTAGAGGGTACAACACTCTTAGGTATATTCCCTTGTACTCTCATTCTTACCAACAACTCTTCAGTTCTAAAAAATTGTACTCACTAGAAGCATACCCCAGTCTAGCCTATAACTTCTACATAGCTAATATGTATAAGTTGACTCCTAAAACTTTACATTTCTCCTATGCTTAGCTTCTTCTAGGCTTTAGCTTGTTCAACAGGTGCGTGCAGGGATTAGATTCTGGGCAAGGAGGTGCGTATAGATGGCAAGTCCGAAATGGCACCCCTCCGGATATACGCACCATTGTGCATCTTAGCCAGCGGTGCGTATATCCAGGGGAATACGGTAGCAATTGAATACCCTTTTACTGAATGAGCCTATACCAACATCCAATCGGCAGACACATGCGCAACGTGACGTGGCTACATTCCGAGCTGATCCTGGCGTTCTAGGTTGCCCACCAGGATCAGCTACGTTCTCCTGTTTTTGATCCTGATCCTGATCCTGATCCTGATCCTGGACGGAAGGAATACGCCCTAAAGGAGTGTGACATTTCAAACTATTTCCCGTCTCTCTCTACAGGTGCATTGAGCAAATCAGCCTCTCCCTCCTCCACAAGGTATTGCTGGAAGTGAGAGGCGTTGGCAGAGATGCAGGACTGCAGCGCGGAGAACTGCGACACACAGTCCGAGCCCTGCAAGCGCATGCGCAACAGATGCGATTGTCAGACACACATGTGCATGGGGAGTCAGGCTTGTGAGTACATGAGAAAGGGGGAACGGTTGCAGTGGGACACACAGTCCGAGCCCTGCACGCACGCACACCACAGATGCGATTGCTGGCACGCATGTGCATGGGGGGGAGTCACGCTTGTGAGAATACGGGAGAAGGTAGCTGTGCAGGAACTGAGACACACAGTCTGAGCCCTACACTACAGCCATGGGCGGATTGCATAGGAAAGTGCGCTCGTGTAAAGCCAAACAGGGGAGGGGAGTGGCGGGGAGACAAGTGCAGGAGCATGGGACTGACACGACAATCTGCAAGATCGGAAGGAGGTGAGAAGGAGGTGAGAAGGAGGTGAGAAGGAGGTGAGAAGGAGGTGAGAAGGAGGTGAGAAGAAGCCGCGTTAAATCAGGGTGAGAAACGGAATGGAAACAAACTCCAAGTGTTTGCAAGTGAGTAGCTCCTCAAGACGATCCCCCTCCCCACATAAACCTCCTCCCTGCTGACATAGTGGCACCGGAAGCTCTCTGCAAACTGCTCCCAGGAGACAAGGGAGTCAGGTTTAGGTTTCACAAAACATCTTATCCATGCCAATGAAAAATCTCACCGGATCCTCCTCCTTGCTCACATGGAGGCACCGGAAGCTCGCAGCAGACTGCTCCCACAACACCAAGGTTTCGGGTTTAGTAGCGGCAGTGACGATTCTCACCTGATCCTCCTCCTTGCTGACATAGTAGCACCGGAAGCTCTCAGCGAACTGCTCCCAGCAAACTCCCTCTCTCAGCTTGTCCAAACACGGACAGTCCAGGGCTCTCCTCGCCCTCTCCTCGTCACTCTCTGCCTCCCCCCCTCCCTCTCCCCCTCTCCCCCCTGCAGTTTGGCTTCCTGCCTCTGGTGGGAGAAGGGTAAGGCATGGGATGACGCAATGCGTGGGTGGGTGAGTCCAGCATGAGGACAACCGAATCGCATAACATGTGGGATGAAACGAAGATTGCTTTTTGAGTCGACTCAAAGGCTTTCTGCGTCTGGTGGGGGAAGGATAAGGCATGGGATGGCGCAAAGCGTGGGGTAGATGGACCTATGACGGACAACCGAATCACATACTATGAGGTAATATCGAGGAAATCCACAGTCTCCTGAGAAATATGGGTCCATTGGTCTCGCCGAATCACATACATGAGGGATGAAGCGAATCACATACTAAGAGGGATGAAGCCAAGACTACCAGCACGAAGGGAAGGTGGGGAAAGCGTTGAAACGAAAAGCGGATTGGAAGAGTTTAAGGCTGTTAAAGGATGCAATCGGCCATGCCTGATGCCATGATAGGAGCCGCAAAGACCATGGCGAACGCTTACCAGCAATAAGAGACGCAAAGGCCGCCTCGGGTCCGTCCATGGGACCCGATCCGGCGTCGGTGTCGCGGTGGTCAGAGCGGAGGGAGAGGCAGAGCGGTGGGGTGCGGTGGAGGGAGGTGAGGCGAGAGATGGGGCGGGGAGGGGAGGGCGAGGGCGAGGTGTCTGTGGGGCGACCCATGGCGGAAAAGCGTGAGGGGGAGGCGGGGGAGAGTGTGGGGCGCGATGAAGGGGGCGCGGGGGGGGCGGGGAAGGAGAGGGGGGAGGGGGAGGAGGCGATGGAAAGGCGCGGAAGAGGGTGGGAGGGGGACGAGGCGGGTGAGGATGCGCCACGGTGAATCGCGGTTGGATGCGTGGACGAGGAGTGAGGCCGAGCTCTGTTCGGTACAGCGACACGGAGTGAAGGCGCTCTTCGATAGGATGGCTGGTCGCGACGCTGACGTCACGGAGTCCCTGATTCGAAGGATCGGATCGGGAAGTTCGGAAGGACGAAGGGACGGTGAATGCGGAAGATAAGCAGTGAACGACGGCGCGGCGAAAGCGTGGATTGAAGGGTACCTGCTAACGGGGGAGTCGCGATGGTTGCAGACGCAGATCAGCTAGGATGCGATCGATGAATAGTGGCTGTCCGGGCCCTAGATCGCCTGGAGGGAGAGGAGGAACTACTAGAGGGGGTAGGAATGAGAGCCAGAATAATAAGGCGCTGGGGAAGAGGGCTAGGGCAGCACACCAGAGCTTGTTGGGCGGACGTACGCGCTGCTGTTTGGCTGCAACAAGTGTACGTGCGAGACTCTGTATTTTGGATGTGCACAGCCAGTAAAACGCGAATCTCAATACGCGAACGTCGCTCGGTTCGCACACTATTTCTGGCAGCACTTGTTACAGCTTTTGCGTGTCCCCTCCCCAGCCTCAGGGCGGGTCCAAATAATTCGTTTTCGCAAAATACCATACCCAACCATTCTAGCTTGGTATTCGAATGCTTTGAAACGCAACGCAAGCTACTCCACCGTAATCAGAGGTACTATTAGGACCCGCCCTCAGCTCCCCTCGTGTTTCTTTCATTTCCCTTCTTCCAGAAGCATCCTAACGCCATCCGTCATGTCACCTCGATAGGCTGCAGAAATAGTATCCATTCCGTTAGCACGCAACCCCCGTTGCTTGGTTGACTTACTTGTCTCTGTCACCTTCGTGTTGTCCCTTGTTATCCCGCGGTACGCACTTGTTGTTGTGTCTTAGACTGAGAGGCGTGTTTGCGTACTTGTTAGAAGCTATGATTGAAGTGGTGCTCAACGACCGGTTAGGGAAGAAGATACGCGTGAAGTGTAACGAGGATGACACTATCGGGGACCTGAAGAAGCTGGTCGCGGCGCAGACGGGCACGCGGCCGGAGAAGATTCGGATTCAGAAGTGGTACAACATCTATAAGGACCACATCACGCTCGGCGACTATGAGATTCACGACGGCATGGGTCTCGAGCTGTACTACAACTAATTGAAGCGATGGCGATGAAGCTGCGCGACATGGGGCTCGAGCTGTATAACAACTAGTCGCCTCTTGTTTCGCCGCGCGATTCGTTTTAACGAAGCAGTTCCGTCGTTCTGCTGCTGACCGGCGATTTAGGTTTTCGCCACGCTGCGGCTTCCATGGTTCGAAGTTGTATATTTGCACTAGAAAGGTGCCAGCCACGTCGTTCCTTAACGGGTTTTCAGTGCTGCGTTTCTTCGGAATGAGGTGCTGGCGTTTCTATGGCTGCCTTCGCTGCACGTTTCTTGCTTTAGTACCTTTTTTTATGAGGAAGCGCTATTCCTTGCTGCTGGGATCCTTTTTTGCTCCATCTCACCACATGCATTCACGTGAACAGTACCAGATCACTACTCAAGGAACCCTCTATTGACATGGCAGTTGCAGTTTATTCAATGGGATGGATGGATGGCCTGATTTCGGGGCTTGACTGGCAGCATAACATTGCCAGTCCAGTTTTGTTACTATACATGCAACCCTGCAAGATGAAGCCACGGAATTCTCGGGCAGATATGCTCGTCTAACATCGTGCTGGGAAACCTTACGCTATTCTGTACTCTCGGTGCCATGTCGCCGTCATAGACTGGGAGAGCAGCTAGGATAAAGCAGGCGAGGGGGACCGCCACCTTCACTCCTGAGGTGCTGTTTGCCAATTCCCCGCAACAGCACGCTGAGCGCCCTGCCGTTACCATGCTTCTAGTGATGGTAACATAGACCGTGTTATGATCTCTTCATACTTGCAGGGCAGCTTGGATGGAGCGCGTGAGGGAGAGGATCTCGAATGGCGCCCTGTCAGCAACGGCCTTGGCAGTGTTGGGGCATGAATCCGTTATCCAGAAGTGCGCAAAGCCCTCTGACGGGTTGCCTGGGAGGTTAGAGAGGGTTTGAACAAGGGAGGAATGAAAGGGTTCACTAGAACAGCCCTCCTGTAGCGGCCTTCGCGCTGCTGGGGCAAGAATCTGTCATCCAAAAGTGCACAAAACACCAAAACCCCCCAATTGGAGTGCCTGGGGACTTGGCTAACGGTCGAACATGGGGCACCAGACATATTGCTAGGGGGGAAGCGGGAATTGTGTGTGTGCTGATACAAAGGCGCAGTGGACCAACAAGAATTAAGAATTTTTCTGTCAGCCATGTCTGCCAGCTGTGTCCGACAGACACATGTGTACAAGATTCAATAATTTTCTCGTGCTGTCAAACTATCTACACTGTGGCTTTCAGGCTGCTGATTCTCACCATTGGCGTCGTGGTTGAATCGCCGCCATGTCTGGTTGGGAAACACCCCATGGGTCACATACGCACTCACTTTCCCCGCTCCATGCGCTGCCAGCAGTCGCTGTGAGGTGAACAGGAGCAGCGGGGGGGGATGGGAGGGGGGGGGGGGGGAGAGGGAGGGGGGGGGGTTCAATATACTGCAAATGTCACAAATGCGCTCACTTTCCCCGCTCCACGCAGACCGCTGTGACACAAGGGCGTGCAGGAGGAAATGGATTGGGGGGGAGGGGGGGGAAGGGGTGTGGTATCCTGCTGCCTCTTAAGGTCTCGCTCCCCCTCTCATGCGTTGGTGCATATCACCTGGTGCGCGTGTCCACGCCGCTGCCCCTTCGGGTGTCCCTCTTACCATGCTCGCATCATCCACCTCACTCACCTGGCACTCTATAAGCGTCGACTCCCCCCATTGCACAAGGACATCCAAAATCACCACATGCCGGCCCTTGAGGCCTGAATCCCCTCTACAAAGCTCCAACATATCTCATGTGGCATCTAATCTAAGAGTCGATTGCGATTGCACCACATGGCGTGTTGACAATCACACTGCTGCTACCAACCATGATACCACTCTCACATCTAGAATCCCACCTCACCTGGCTCTCAAAAAGAGTCAATCCCGACCGCACAAGGTCATGCACGATGACCACGCGCCGCACAAGGTCATGCACGATGACCACGCGCCGCACAAGGTCATGCACGATGACCACGCGCCGACCCCTGGGGACTCCCACCTTGAGTTATGCTGCTGCCCATTTCCGCTACCTGCTACCAACCTGCACTCTCACCTGGCACTCCATGAGATTCGATCCCGACTGCACCAGGTCATCCACACTCACCACATGCCGGCCTCTGGGGGCCAACTCCCTGAAGAGAGTTGCTCACTCGTCACCATGCTGCAGCATGCCCACCTGAGAGTCGATCCTGACTGCACCCTCACCTGGCAGTGGCACTCTATGAGCGTGGATCCCGACTGCACCAGGTCATCCACAATCACCACGTGCCAACCGTTAGGGACTCCCTACTCCTTCACGAATGTTCCTTTCCCTCTGATTGATGCTTTCACTAACCACACAGCACCGTGCTGCAGTTTTCCATACCCAGCATCCCGCCTCACCTGGCACTCTATGAGCGTCGACCCCGACTGCACCAGGTCGTCCACAATCACCACGTGGCGCCCCTTGGGGTTCCCCTCCTTCAGCTGCACGATGCGCTTCTCGCCCTCGCGCACCTTGGTGCAGATCACCTGCAGCAACACAGAGCGCGGCACAGACACGGCATGAGTTAAGTGCGAGCGGCAGTGTGAATAGCCAACAGAGGCGACTTCCCTCCTTCCGCTTCTCGCCCTCCATCACTGGTGCACCTTGGTGCACATCACTTGGTGGTTGAGGGGTGTTGTGGCGTATGATCGACGTGTTAACAGGTGCATATCACAGTATCACCCGGTAGTCAATGGGGGTTGCGACCCCCCATCCAAATGCACACATGCGTGCGCATGCCATGGTGATGTGTCCATGCAGACACACACATATACATGACATGGTGATGTGTCCATGCAGACACACACATATACATGCCATGGTGATGTGTCCATGCAGACACACACATATACATGCCATGGTGATGTGTCCATGCAGACACACACATATACATGCCATGGTGATGTGTCCATGCAGACACACACATATACATGCCATGGTGATGTGTCCATGCAGACACACACATATACATGCCATGGTGATGTGTCCATGCAGACACACACATATACATGCCATGGTGATGTGTCCATGCAGACACACACATATACATGCCATGGTGATGTGTCCATGCAGACACACACATATACATGCCATGGTGATGTGTCCATGCAGACACACACATATACATGCCTTGGTGATGTGTCCATGCAGACACACACATATACATGCCATGGTGATGTGTCCATGCAGACACACACATATACATGCCATGGTGATGTGTCCATGTAGACACACACATATACATGCCATGGTGATGTGTCCATGCAGACACACACATATACATGCCATGGTGATGTGTCCATGCAGACACACACATATACATGCCAGGGTCATTCTTGGTCATGCATTTAAGGAGAGCAGCGAGCTCCAAAGACATTTTGTGAGAACAGAATGTCAAGAGCACGTGCTTCAAAACCGTACCAAGGGGTAATGTTGCAGTTGCACTGAAGACATGCCGTGACTGTGCCCAAGACATGCCGTGACTGTGCCCAAGACATGCCGTGACTGTGCCCAAGACATGCCGTGACTCCTTCACTCGTACCATGGGGTAATGTTGCAGTTGCTTGTGAAATCTCTTCCATGCACCTTCATCGGGGAATGCAATAGTTATCTGCATCACATGGCGCATGGCACACAGCAGAGGGTAAATGGCACATGGCACGTGGCACATGGCACGTGACACATGGCACGTGACACATGAGTGCAGTTGGTGCTTCAGCAGTGATTCTGTAACCCTCCACCCCCCACTCCCCTCCCCAACCCCCTATCCTCCACAGACAAGGATGTGTGTGTGAAGCCCCCTCTCCCCCTGGTTCCATCCAATCCAATCCAGCTTCGCTCTCACATCATCAGATTCACGCTTCACCCTTCCCTCCTGAACGTATCCCTCAGCCCCCCTCCCCCTCCCCGCTTTCTTCTCACATCAACGGAGTATGGCAGCTGGTGCACACGGGGCTTCAGCAGAGGGATGCGCTCACCCTCCATCTCCTTCGCTTGCCCCTCTGCCCCTCACAGTCTTTCCATGCCATGCACCACGCCTCTGCCATGCACCACGCCTCTGCCATGCCACGCCTCTGCACCACGCCTCTGCCATGCACCACGCCTCTGCCATGCACCACGCCTCTGCCATGCACCACGCCTCTGCCATGCACCACGCCTCTGCCATGCACCCATCCGTCTGCTCCCCCCCTCCTCCTCTCACATTCTCCGAGTCTGGCAGTTGGTGCAGGCGGTGCTTCAGCAGTGATTCCTACGCCCTTCACCATCCTCCAACTATATAGGGCCGCTCTCACCTCTCCCTTCCCCCCTAGTTGGTGCAGTTTCTCACATTATCCGAGTCTGGCAGTTGGTGCAGGCGGTGCTTCAGCAGAGGGATGCCGCTCTCAAAGCACGGCAGCACGTTGTCACCAAAGTAGAACCGCTCCTGACGGGGAAAGAAGGGAGGAAGGGATGACGGGGGTTGAATGGGGCTGAAGGGGGTTGAAGGGGGTTGAAGGGGGTGGGGGTGTGGAAAAAGAGAGTGCCGCTCACAAAGCACGGCAGCACGCTGTCACCACAGTAGAACCGCTCCTGATGGGGGAACGCAGGGGGGGAAGGGAGAGGGGGGGGGGGGGAGGGGGGGGGGGGAAGAGGGTTACTTACACAGTTTCAGAGCACGGCAGCACATGAGGGAGCAGAAAAGGGGGGGGAAGGGAGGTAGGGGCGGTGGAAGGGGAAAGGTGGGGTGGAGTGTGTGCACGGGATGGGAGGAAGGGGTGTGGAAGGGGAAGGTGGAGTGATAAAACGAGGGTGATGGTATGGGACAGGGAAGGAGAGAGGAGGGTGAATGAGGGAGGGAGACGGAGTAAGACTCACGCGTGGATGTGCAAGGACACGTGCAAAGTTTATAAGGAGAGGAGGTGACCCCCAGTACCAACCTGCAGCACATGTATGTCGAAGGTGCCTAGACTGGTGGGACCCCTTCTAGAGATGAGGGTGAAAGCCGAGCCATCAGGGCCACAGGGCGCTCTGATCTATTATAGCAGCCAGGGGAGGAGGAGGTGACCTCAGCACCCACCTGCAGCGCGTGAATGTCGAAGATGACCAGGCTGGCGGGTGGGCCCCCCTCTAGAGACGGGAATGTTGGAGAGGATGCGAGAGAGAGTGAGCGCAGTTGGATTGAAATGATCATACTCTATAACCAACCTGCAGCGCGTGAATGTCGAAGATGATGAGGCTGGTGGGCCCCCATGGAGAGGGGATGTTGGAGAACGCGTGTGCATGCATGCATGCAGAATTTCCCCTCATACCAACCTGCAGCGCGTGAATGTCGAAGATGACGAGGCTCGTGGGGCCCCCTCGGGAGATGGGTATGTTGGAGAGAATGCGAGAGAGAGTGAAGGCCGTTGCCACGTCCCCCTCGTCCTCCATTCGCTCACTGGAACGAGACGGGGGTGGGGTGGGGGGAGCAGAGAGAAGGGGTTTCTACTCACTGAACTTTTGATTCGACTCAAAAAATCTCTAATATTATAAAAAAACCTATCACAGCCGGGGAGCAGAGAGAAAGGTACGAGGGAGAGGGTGGGGGTGCCCTTGTTCCTACGTGCCAGTGCTGAATGCTCACTGAAAGTTCACCTTGCATTGCACCAGTGCTGATTGGTCAGCTTGCACCAGGGCGGAATCCTCACCGTGTGCCAGTGGGGAAGAAGGGCAGCACGAGCGTGAACGAGGCGACGAACATTCTCGGGATCGCATAGATGATGGACAGCTGCTCGAAGATGAATTTTCAGTGAATGTTCACCTTGTGCCAGTTGGGAAAAACGGCAGCACCAGCGTGAACGAGGCGACGAACATCCTTGGGATCGCGTAGATGATGGACAGCTGCTCGAAGATGACAGCTGGCGAGCTGAACGACGCCAGGAACGCCACGTGGCGGCCTCTGATTCCGTGCGCGTTAGGCACAAAGAGGTCGGGAAAGCCGTCCTCGAACTTGCTGGGGGGTGCAGTAGTGAAGGGGACGAGGGGGAGGAGAGGGGCGGGGAGGGGAGGGAGCAGATTGCTCTCGAGCTGATTCAAGGAGCACCAAGAGGTCGAGAAAGCCGTCCGCGAACTCGCTATTAGTCGGGTAACGGGATCATAGGAGAGGCAATCAAGGGGGTAGGAGGGGGGGAGAGGGGGAAGGGGGACAATGGGAAGGGGAAGGGAAGGGCGGCAGATGACCTCTGAGTTGACTCATAACACAGTACACGAGTCGCTCACGTGCAGATGACCTCTGGATACTATCTCATCCAGGGCCTTCCGCAACCCTCGCAACCGCCGCAACACGCGCTGTCAGTCCACACACTACGTTGAGCCCATTACTCACTCACACGCACCCACACTCAACTGCGCGCCAATCACCCCACTTGCGCGCCAATCACCCCCTAGATGACTTTTGACTCGAGTCAAACGAGTCGAGTGAACTGAACTCGCAGCTTCTCACTCACTCACCCCCACTCAATCGGCTTCAGCTCCATGCTATCCAGTACCAGCCAGCCACGTCCCCCGCAATACTCGCCGTCAGTTCACGCGTGTGTTGAAATGTGACGCGCGTAACCAGAGGATCAACACGCGTGGGCATCGAAACTATAGCATAACTCACACGCACGCCACCCACCCCCACTCGATCGGCTTCAGCTCGATGTTATCAAGGTCCTCCGCAATACTCGCCGCGAGATCACGTGGGCGTGATAAGACTAAACTCACACCCATAGTCACACCCATAGTCACACCCACAGTCACACCCATAGTCACACCCACAGTCACACCCACAGTCACACCCACAGTCACACCCACAGTCACACCCATAGTCACACCCATAGTCACACCCATAGTCACACCCATAGTCACACCCATAGTCACACCCATAGTCACACCCATAGTCACACCCATAGTCACATGCACGCCACTCACCCCCACTCGATCGGCTTCAGCTCGATGTTATCCAGGTCCTCCGCGATTCGCGCCGCGAGATCCGCCATCTCGCTACAGTAGAACAGGCACACCTGCTTCTTCGACGGCCGGTCCAGAATATGACAAACCTGGCCGTCCACCAGATCCTCCATCATCAAATCGTATCCGGACGACAGCCGCCCGTTCACTGTTCCCCCGCGCTTTGTCCTACTCGCCGCGCCATTCGCGGTCCCGTTGGCCGGCGGGGCTTCCGCCAGCCTCCCCACGACTGCGGCTGCGCGCGCCAACGCGGGGGACTCGCGGGAGCCACGCTGGCGGGGGAACCTTCCCCGCGTTTGATATTCTCTCACCCCCGGGGCACGCCGCGTGCCCGGGTATTCCCCCGTCCGCGATAACAGCGGCCCCGCTATACGGCATTCTACCGCCGCCTTGGAAGCCGCAGAAGCCGCGACGGGAGGAGGAAGGGGAGAGGATGTGAGGACGCGGGTTTGATGGTGCGATCGATGGGATAGGGGCGATAGGTGCGATGGGGATAGGTGCGGTTGCGAGGCGGGGCGAAGGGCATTTGCGAGATCGGTAGCCATTGCGCCGGCTGCCATGGCTGCGAGACGAGTGGCCGACTTTGAAGGCAAGACGGCAGCCAGCTCGGACTGTTACTCGCTTCACTGGGGGAAGTACTTCTAAGGAGATTGCCACCGACAGCAATGCGGCTACGGCGGAGGAAGCTTGGGAAGAACTGGCAGCGAAGAGTGGAAAATATTCTGGTAGGCGCGTAACGGTTAGCTCGTCAGACGGAGAACGCAGAGCCTTAGTGAGCTTTAGGAAAGATCACAAGGAGAGGAAGAGAGGGTAGTTAGAAGGCGGCAACATCTATTATAGGAGGGAACCAGTTACGGGATTATTACTGTGCAGTAAGGTGCGAGAACGGTCGAGCGATCAAGATTGCCCCTATATTCCAAACCGGCTTGCGAGGCTCGTTCAGGAATCAAGAGGCTCTGACCTAGCGCCGTAACGAGCCTCTTCGACCAAACACCAGCTGCCAGATGGGCGCGTGCTTGGGTTCGACCTGGCAAGGCTCTTGGCCAAACCAGCTAGGGGGATACAGTACAGGTTTCTGATGCTTGGATATTCGTTCGGTGGAATGCCGAACCAGGAATGCAGGCCCGAGGAGGCTTAGATGATCGGTTTTAGCCAATCGTAGACCGCCACTCTCGTCATCTCGCTTCGCGTTCGGAGCCGCATAACCCCCACCAGCCTGGTCAACCTCAAAACCAATTCCTTCAAAATCTCCTGTTGTAAGGAATGCGTATTTCCTTAATGAGGCTTGCTACAGAGCGTACGACTCGAACAGTCCCGAACCAGCGATAGGGTTCCAGACCTTTCAGTTCTAGCCTCCTGGGCCTTTCCGGACCTCGCTACGACACATCGAGGCCCTTCGATACTTTTTCCGAACCTTCTGATCCTACGTCCAGGATCACCCTAGGCTTTCTCTATATTGTGTGTTCTTTCATTTTATTGTCATTCACTCGTTCACAGTTTCGCCATTGCCCTCCGCGCTACTCGGCAGTCCCATTTATAACACTTGGTATTCAGAGCCACTTTCCTCACCCGCTGGGCTTCCGAGGGCATAACACATTTTTTTTGGGAGGGGGAGAGACATCCCCTCGAGGGCGGTTGTGTCCGTCCTGACACGGCGAATATTTTTAAGAGTGTTTCCGGTATGTTGTTCATTTCGCACATCGTTAAAGGGGCTTCGGTTGCAATTTCGGGATTTTCGACAAGCATCAACGACGATTCGGATTGGTGTCCGAATGGAGCGAGGAGCTCGTCACGAGACGACAAGCTCACGGATATCCCCAGGCGAAATGGATTTCGTCAGGAGTGCGTGTAGCAGACGTGGCTGCATGGTGAAGTGTAGCTGATGTCAAGGGCTCGGCGTTCCGGCAGGCGACACGCAGGTGAAGACGGGACTTCGGATACTGTTCAGCAAACGCGGCGTTGGAGTTTTCGGCACAACCAAGGATCGCACGGCAGCACACGTGGGGCTCAGGCACGGAAAAGTTTCGGGGGGTACTGACCTCGAAATTTATTCGCGTGACCTGCTCGCCTGGAGGTGTAATTCGTCTGCCCTGGAGTTTCGAGCTCGACGAGTCTGGATTCCTGCAGGGGAAGCCATTTTCGTGGTCAGAAATTACGCCCCACGATCTACGGAGGACGACCAGCAACTACCCTCGGGTCGAGTTCAAGTGTCTTTTGCCGGGTCACCGCTCAAAGTCAACGACGAAGAGCTGTAACAGAGAAGGAGAACGACTGGGTAACAGCCGGGAAAAAAATAAAAGTCAGCGGCAAACGGATCCCCCCGACTGACTAGGCTGGGTCGCCCGATCTTCAGCATCTCCACCGGGTGGTAGTACGATACATGCTATCGACCGCTCCCAGACGAATAAGGGAGGAAGAGCCAGCGGATCACCCTGTGCTGGTGGATCGAAATTTTTCGGCGCTACACGACAGGTGCACGATTTGTGAAAATCGTTCGCTGTACAGTGGGAGGCGCGTGAAGCAGGTTGACGAAAATTGCGAAAGGAAATTTGCGAGAGCGATCGGACGGTACGCGGAGCTCGAGTCTGATACAAACGGCGAAGATGGGTCGCCGAAATCGACGGAGTTGCGAGCTTTTCGAAAGAACGTGCGCGGTACTATTTTGGAGAACGACGAACGTGGGCGCTGGATGAACAGCGGCCTACGGGGGTTTTTACTTTTGAAGCAGCAGTTGAAGAAATTTTGAAGCAGTTAGAGCATATTTTTGCAGAGACGGAAATTTTCAGGGAGGGGAAGGAGAATCCCTCACGTAAGCTGCAAAGCGGTTGCCTGCGAATTAGACAGATAAATTCGCCCAACTACGATAGCGTTTGCGCTTACCTGAGTATGGGCACACGGCGGATTCACCCCTGCTCTGGAGTGTAGTCATCAAATGGAGCTTTAGGACGACAAGGGTTACTGTTGCAGTGGGAAAAGCGTGTTGCCGTCACGGAAAATTTGGAGTCACGCGGGAGTCTTCGCGGATTATCCCTGAGTTGGGGGGCTATAATCGAAGACTCGGCTGCGAGGACTCACTCGTGGATTTACCTGGACGGGCACAAAGATGGGTGAACGTCGGCGCGTCGCTAAACGTCGGGTATTTTCCGGGTGGGAATTCTTCAAGTTTTTGGCTGGAGCGGTAGCTGGGGTCACGGGTACCACCGAGCTGTACGATGGTTTAAATACCAGCATGGTTAGTCGGTGAAACTGCAGAAAATGCGTTTTTCGGAGCTGAGAATTGTACCCAAGTTTTTCTGGGGTACCTCCCGTAGTCGCGCGATGGGTGAACGTCTGCTCGGTGAACCGGTCAGGTGGAGTTACGGAAATTTCTACAGAGGGTAACAACACGAAGCAGATCGACGGCATTCTGCGGAGCATAATATTGATCTACGGCGTCGGATGGAGCTAGAGTCTACGTAGCTCAGCTGCCCTGCGTTATGGGGTCGCGCTGAGACTGGTCCCGACGAGCATTGGTTGAAGATACTTCAAGTTTTTGGGGTCTGAAGAAACTTGAAGCAGGGTATTTTCGGCATCAACGACAGAAGATTTTCTTTTCACGCAGGGGGGAGAGAGCAGCTGCGCAGCAGTTGTTTTTTGGATTTTCCCTCGACAAGTTTGACATCCGCTGCATAAGCATTGACGGACAGATGCTGTTTGACCGACTGAATCGACGGACACATTCGAGTTGGCTTTTCGGGAATTTTCACTGGTATTCGCGAAAGTTGATGGCGTGTTTAGTTTAACCGCCTGAGGTGGCATCGATTACAGTTACTGGACTGATTGTGCTTTCGTCCAAGTGCTGATGGAATTCGTTGACTTTCGTGAGACACGGACGCGTGTTCTCGCATGTGTCGCGAATAATATCGCATTTGACGAAAAGCTAAAGTTCGTTTACTTTGCGAAATACGGACCCGTGTTTCTGTGAGTGTCACGACTCACGTGGAATTAAACGAGGAGCGATCTACAGTTACGGAGCTATAGACAAGTTTGGCGCTATGCAGAAGATTCGGCTCGCCAACTTGCAGCAGTGTGAATAATCGTGGTGTTACTGAGCGGATACAGTACACGACGACTGGGTTTGTAATTCTCGGCTGTTGGAAATATCTCAAAGGACTTAAGCGTTTCTGAAGTGTAACACTACACTCGAGGAAGATCGCAACGGGTACGCGAGTCAACGGAAGTTACACGAGGGGATGGACAAAGAACGCGAAGGAACTCGAAGGGTCGCAACTGGAGGTTGCGACTGACCGTTACAACAGCGCGGATGGTAACCGAAGCGACAATCGAGTCGCTGTGCGACTCGATAACCGCTCCTGCAACTGTATTCTACAACTGCTTTACTTTCCTATTTCTATATATTGCTGTATGCTTGTTTCTTTAATCAATCACTTGTTCTCATATACTAGTACAAGGGTTCAACTGCCTCAACTTCCGCTGCACTACTCAAGTCTTTTACAACTGGGACTTAGTTTCTAGAAAGATCCTAAGGGCTTTTCTCAGCCCAACATGGTATGAGAGCTGGTCAGAGACCAAACTCCCAGCAACTACTCTCTATCTACAATCTGCAATTCAACGACTTCATTGATTACAAGTCATGGATAACAAGGGCAAGAAGACCTCTACGGGCTCACCCAGTACCCAAGACACTCAACACGGCAACTCTGGGCTGCACACTTCAGGACTGCAGACCGAGACCGGCGCTGCTCAAGAGACAACAGGAAGAACACCGGAAATGGTGACCCCATCGCCGTCTTCAAGCGTCGACCCAAACCTTATGGAAAGGTTCTTCAGCTTCATGTCGCACTTCGATCAGCAGCAGCAGACAAGGACACCTGCTCATTCAACACAGAGCAACAGAGGAAACACGGGATTAGCGCCGATGAGCCTTGACAACTCATCTTTCGGGCGACACAATCAAGCGCCTACCTTTGCGCCCTACCACTCGTCACCGGGGACATTCGAGTTCATGCCGCCCCGTGCCCAACCAACAGCAGCTGCATCACAACAGACACCAAATGAGATTCTAAGTCTCCAGGCGCAATTTTCACACGTCATCAAGCTACAGACATCCTCACCGTTCAACGGACATGACTTCTTTACCTGGAGCTTCGAGTTCGAGCTGCTGATGGAGGCTGCGCATCTCTTGGGATACTTCAATGGGTCCCTGCCATTCCCAAGCAACGGCACTACAAAAGAGCAAGAGATATTTACTTATCAGTCGCTGCTGGCGTACACAGTTCTCTTACGGAACCTGTCACCACAAGAACAGCAGAGCATCAGAACATATCGGAGCTATGGAAACTCCGCGGAACTCGCATGGCATTATCTCAAGTGTCTCTATCAAGCAAACGACAGCGTGACACAAAGCAGACTCATGCAACAACTGACGACAATACAGATGAAGACCGGGGAAAAGGCGATGCAGTATATGAGTCGTTGCCAAACCCTCCGCGACCGCCTGCTTCGGTGCGGAGGAACAATCACTGAAGAAAGCTTCGTGACGCTTGTCCTCGCCGGGCTCGGGCCAGAATGGAGAACCACACGCTCGCTTCTTCGCGCCCACGGAAGAATCTCGGAGATGCACCTCTGCGCCGAACTTCACGCTGAACAACAAGAGATGGACCTGTTCGAAGAAAGACAACCAAGAAAGCAGCAGCAGTTAGTTTTCTACACTCAACGAAGGAACGACAATAACTACAATCGACGCGGCAAGCAAGATCAACGCGACAACAAAGGACTCACCTTCGTGCCGCCGTTCTGCCACAACTGTCAGACCT